GTACGAGACCCTCGGTCAGCAAGGGCCGAGGGGACTTCCGCGCGCCGGCCGACACGTGGACGGGGCTTCCGGGGATGGGGGAGTGCAAAGGCGTCCAGGAACTATCCGGGTGCCGGGACGCCCTACTTGGATCTGTCTCACGCCCCTCTAGGAGGAGCCCCGGGGTGGGAGCGTGTAGAGTTGGCCCTCCGGCTCACAAAAGCCCGGGCCCCAGACGACCACCGCCCACCAGCTGGGATGGCGGCGCGCGAAGCATCGTGGGCAATGTAGTCCATGGCGCTGAGACGCTGCCCCTCCCAGATAGCCGCAGAGCCTGCCGCGAAGCGCAAACTTGTTTGGGGCGCGTCCCTCCGGGATGACTGGGTTGTGCTGGGCGCGGCCCTGGGCACCCCGCAGCTTGAGCGTGTGCAAAGGAGGAAACCCGGGCGCAAAGAGCTAGCATGTGGGGAAACCAAAACTCATCATGAGCGTTTTTCTGGACCCCCGTCCGGCCTTTTCCTCTGTGAGGGCAACGAGCTATTTTTACCAGCATCTCCTCTATCCTTCACATTTTAGGAGGCCACGTTCCTTCCTTCCTTCCTTCCTTCACTCCATCTGAAGCTTTAAATTGTCTCATTCATTCATTTCTCTCTGAGGACCTTGTTTGCTAATTCCCAACCTTGGGTCATGCTGCTCCTTGTCAAACCTACAGGCCTTAGGATACTATCAGTACCCTATAAAACTCCAGCCCCTAAAACTCTCAGATTCAGGCAGACCATTCCTTCCTAACAACTCCACAAATGACTATAAAAGAATGGTGGACTTTCTTTAAACAGGAAAACCCGTGGAAACTTCAATTGTGACAACACAGAGTTAAGTCATAGGCGTAGGGCTATCTATATAAACGGTGACCTGGGATTTTGAGCCAAGGCCGTGTGACACACACACACACACACACACACACACACACACACACACACACTATGGTAGTCTACTAGTCCCACACTCCCCAACCCCACCCCATTTCATACCCCCCAACAAAGTTGTATCGTACTTTCTGGGATGTCTCTATGGCTGGCTCACCTTCTTAAGTCCCAAATAGTCTCAGGACTCAAGGATAGCAAGTCCTAGCCCCTTATGGACATCTTTTCTGTAGATGCTACAAAGAAAAAAGCTTCTCAGTAGGTGGGGTTCAGAGAGGGTAAGTTTGGCCTAGGGCCACACAGATGGTACTACATCTAAAGACAAAAAGAAGACTTTGAGTTCATCCATTATGCTACTCTGTGTGTGTGTGTGTGTGTGTGTGTGTGTGTGTGTGTGTGTGTGTGTGTGTTATGAATGTTTTTTCTGTATGTATGCATGTGTACCACCATGTTACTGCAGAAGTCAGAAGAAAGCTTTGAATTCCTGGAACTGGAGTTACAGATGTTTGTGAGATACCATATGTATTCTGGGAATTGAATTTGGGCCCTCTGCAAGAACAAGTGTTCTTAACTGCTAAGGCGTCTCACTAGCCCCCTTGATGCTATTTTTGGAGAGAAGCCAAGAAGGCTAGGGATGTAGGTCAGGGGTCAGATATTTGCCTAGCATGTGCAAGGGCATGGGCTTGATTCCCTGCCTAAGATAAAGGCAGTGGAGTCTGGGGAGGTAGCTCCCTTGGTACAATGTTTGCCTGACATGCGCAGTGTCTTGGCTTCCATCCCCCAGCACCACATAAATTGTTTTTGGTGTACACACTTGTAACCACAGTTGTAGAGGCAGGGGGATTGGAAGTTCAGGGTCATTCTTGGTTACTTAGTGAGTTCAAAGCCAGCCTGAGATAAATAAATAAGCAAAATAAGAAGACAAATTTGGAATGGTGTTTGTGATGATGGGAGGTGAGCTGCTTACCAGGGGACTGGCTGGGGGCAGATCCCCCTGTTCTCAGTAGGGGAAACACTGGAGTAAGTTGATGTCCCCTCCACCCACAGTCCATTGTGCGACATTAGCCTCCCTTCAGCTAGGCTGTGGGGCCAGGGAGGCTGGCTTCTGCCATTGCCTATCCAGAGTCTGACCTCTTCCATGCATGAACTAATGGGAGGATCACTTTTCCCAGGACTATATTCGTTGCATGCCCATCTCACCTCACCAAGGGCAGCGTAGCTCTTTTTGAACCTCAGCATTGGTTTGTACCTAGAAGGAACTCATGGATTAGAGACACTGTAATGGCCCCTAATGCCCAATGGCTACTATTCGAGTGGAGCCCATAACTCTGAAGACCTTCAGCTCTTCCTCTGCCCTTAAGATGATGATATTGCATACTGACATTTCTGGCCTTTGACCTTCATGGTTAATGTAAACATCTCCAGTTCAGTTCAAATGCCAGGTCCTTTCAGGGGCTTGCCCATCCTGCTTTTCCCTTTGGCTGCTTCGTGTGTTATCCCCAGGGCATCCTCATTTTCCTGGGTCTGGCTGTTTTGTCTGTCTTGTCCCTTCCTGTGCCCATTCAGTGTGAGAAGAAAGATGGGTATGCTGGCCTGCAGCCTGCTTGGAACCTGGGCTGCTTGCACAGAACCTCAGCCTTGGAGCACAAGGGGTTAGGTTCAAGTCCTGACTCTGCCCAGGAAGTGGGCAAATCACTCGTGTGCCAGGAACCTCTCCCAGGAGCCAGAGGATTCTGACCTCCCTGTGACCCAGAGCTCAGGCTCTGGGGCCTTTATCCTATTATGCTCCCCCACCAGCCTTCCCAAGACTGGAGTGTGCCTAGCCTCACATCTAGCCTCATGCTGTAGCTTCCTTTTCTCATGCTCCACCTTTCCCAGAGGGATGTGGCCCCCTCCCACCAGAGTGTATCTAAGGATGCTTGCAATACCTCCCTGAAGCAGAGGCCCTAGGGAGGGACCCATGGGCTGAGACCAATCCCTTAATCGAGGGTAGAGGCCTGAAAGACTGCCTTCGTTCCCCCATTATTGTTTGCCGAGAAACTATTACCATTCCAGGACTGGAAGAAAGTGGCCAGGGAGGAGGAAGGAGCCTTCTAATGGGGGGCTGTCTGGCCTCAAGAGATTAGTGGTGGGGGAAGAAGAGGGCCTGGCCCAACAAACAGCTTCCATCCTGTTTTCCCAGGACCTGCTTCCAGAAGCTTCTGGGAAGGTCTCCTGCGGAAGGCATAGGGCCTGAGGTTCAGGCCCTGACTCCAGGTCCTCCTAACCTTGGTGTTGGTAAGCAGAGTCCCCTGTGCCAGAGCTCACCCGTGTCCTTTCTTTGCTCCTTCCCGTCTGACATTCCCACAGATTCTTTCCTGGCTTATAGAGGGTGTGTGTGTTTATTCTAGCTGGACAGCTAGCTTCTGGACAAGGGAGTCCTGAATTTGAACCTAAGCCTGTGGGTACAGAGGCCAACCTCCACCCTGAATGGTTCTGTTTTATGGTTCTGTTGGTGATCCTGGGATCACTGAAGGGGTATTCCTTTTACAGCCCTTTTAAGAGAGGAGGGGGGTCACAGCCCTGCACACCCCCTCCCCTTTGTCTCCTACAAAGCTGGGAGCAGAGACAGGAAGTCAGAATGAGGGTTGAAATCCTCTCAGGAAGCTGTGTGACCTTGGGCAAGTCCCGTCCCCTCTCTGGGCCTCAAATGAAGATAATAATCGCACCACTGCACAAGGCCACAGCCAGAGTCATCGAGACTCATTAAGTTTGCCGCCTTTATGGTGGGGATTTGGAGAACAGCCAGTGCCAGGCAGGGCTCCTCTTGAGGCCTAAGAGCCTGGGGCAAAGGCGCCGGTAGGGAAGCTCCTCCTTGGCTGACCCTCCTCCCCCAGAGCCAGCTCCAACTCTTTCTGGGTTTCTAGGTGACTTGGCTGGCCCCTCTGGATGAGTTCTACTTTAAACCTGCTGCTGCTGCCTCCTTTGTATTGGGGGGGCTCCCACAGGGGCCCCCAGGCAGGAGCCCCCCCCAGCCAAGCCCTGCGGGAGGGGCTGCAGCCCCCACCCCTGCCGGTGCCCATGCGCCTGCCCCTTCCGTTCCTCTCCTCTGATCGCTGGAACACAGATTTCAGGGCACCTGCTGTGGGCCAGGCGCTGCACAGCCCCTCCTTTAGGGACACCCACAAGGCTTCTGCCCCCTCTGGGCAAACAACCATCCTTCACTATGCAGTTTTCAGCTAAGAGGCTCACAGAGGCTAGCTCCCATCACAGGGTCAGGAGCGCAAAACTGCGCCAAGGTTTTCTCCGGAAAGTCAGGATGCTTGGGTCCTCAAAGGAGGTGGCAGGCTCCGGGCCTCCAGGGCTAGCAACGGGGGAGGGGCGCCTGCCGGCGGGAGGCCCATTAGCTAGCTAAGTGCTCCTGGGAGGGGGTGCTGAGCTCCAGCAGGAGGGGGTGAGGAGAAGTGAGGGCACGTGGGTGGGGTGGGATGGGTAGAGATGGGGTGATGTTTCCTGAGC